TAGCCATCCACATCACCAATACTTTTGCGTGATCATGGTAAATATGCAGTTTTTTATATCGTCAAGGATCGTGTATTTTCATTTGTAGTACGCACTCCACAAAATTCAACATAGTTAATTAAATCATCAATTTTGGCTTTCGTACTAAAAGTGGATTGGTGTGAAGAGTGTTCGCACCTTCAAGAAAGATTATTAAATCGAATGCTTAGTATTTGTAAGTATTTCATTTTAACAACATTCAATTACATTCATTTGTAGAAATATATCATTCCCTTTTTTAATATAAATTTTAATTTTTTTTCAGGATCCATCTTCCGAAAAAAGACAGTTCTTGAATGATATACATATTCTATTATATTTCAAACTATTGTTAAACAGATATTACATTTAAATTTTGTTGGTTCAATTTTTTCACCTTTATTTGTTCACCATTTTATTTTTTTCAATAATGTCAGCACCGTGCGTAGCACGGGTATTCACACTAGTTTTAAATAGTACCATTAAAAATCTCCTGGCAGGCTTAGAGCAAAGTAATTAAGCAACTTCCATGTAACTGGAGAGCAACTTCCATGTAACTGGAGTGCAACTTGGTTTTGGGCCTTTTGGTTCATTTCATCGGACTCGAGGAGAGTTTGAGAACCATTAACACTCAACTTCAGGCTTGACATTAAGGATCTTCAATCAAATACTTGCAGAACCTTTTTTTTTTTTTTTTGGGCAAAGCTACTTGCATGTCTTACTGATCAGATATATGTATAATCATTAAACATGAATGAAATAATACGTGCTATTTTATCGAGTAACGTTACCATCTATCCCTTTTCAAACTGGTAATTAAAACCCTACCTACCCGGAATAAAATTTGGATAGCATTACTATCAGGGGCGGAGGGAAGGGGGGGGGGGCCAGGGGGGACAACCGCCCCCCCTCCAATTGCTAAAAAAAAAATTTTCTAAGTAAAAAAAATTTTATTATATTGTTTTGCCCCCCCAAATATTGATAAAAAATTTCACTTTGCCCCCCCTCCAATTGTTATAAAAAAATTTTCTAAATAAAAAAATTTTTATTATATTGTTTTGCCCCCCCAAAATATTGATAAAAAATTTCACTTTGCCCCCTCTCAAGGACCCAAACAATAATGTATAAAAGTTATTTGGACTTGGTCCAAATAACAGAGACTCGCCCCCTCTAATTGCAATTTCTAGCTCCGCCACTGATTAATATTATTTCAAATAATATTTCACTTGCATCATAAACATATTTCCCAATTCACTTTTTTTATATTCCCATCCACCTTTTTATCTCACATACACGGAATCACAAAAAGTGCTACAGTAATTATTCTAAATAATATTTCAAATAATATCCTATCCAAACAAACCGATTAGTATACTAGGTAATATTTCACTGTCTGCTTAGAGTATGAACAAGAAGCAAGGATGGTAAACAAGTATGCAGTTTGACAGAAGCCATTATTATCTTCTTTACTGTATTGCATTGTTTCTGATGCAGAGAAAGGAAAGGAGCAGGTTAATTACATTCCTGGGTTCCCTGAAATGCGCATTTCTGATCTTCCAACGCCATTCTTCTCTGCTAGAGGCCAAGAAGTGTTGGACGATTGCTTGGAGGGCGTATCACTGGTTTCTAAAGCACAGTTCCTTTTATTCACTTCCACCTATGAGCTTGAAGCTTCAGTGATTGATGCACTAGGAAAAGAATTTGCCTTCCCTATCTATTCCTATCCATGCGCCGTCCCCGTCCCCGTCCCCGTCCCACCCAGTCTCCCACTCGCAGAAGGGCCTTGCACCGCTCCTTACATCAACTCTGCTTGCAGTTTAATCACGGAGGAATCTGGATATGCTTCACCCACGGCTACTACAACATAAACTACTTAATAGTGTATCAAGAGGTTTCCGGAAATTTGGTAGATTTTTTTCTTCTTATTTTTAGCTGGTGAAATTAGTAATTCTAGTGAATAGCATCCAATCTAGAACTTGGGACTATTATTTCTTGCATTAAAATTGACAACTTCAAATCCTAATTTCAATTGTCGAAAGCGAACTCAATCTTTTAAGTTTATTATTAATAGGTTATGTATTATATTATATTTATTTATATTAATAAATTTAATGAGGACGGGAAGAAGAGAGAGAGAGAGAGAGCGCCCCCAGGGGCGGGGGGATGCGGGCAGACATGGAGCAAGAGTGTCGTCTGTCGGCCCATTTAAGGCGAGGGAAGTAAAAAATGCCTCGTCCCCGTCTGGTCTCCCACGCGCACGCGCACGCGCGGATACCGACCTCATTCATATGCGTACTAGAATACGAGGTTGTAATACGTGGAGACGGATTAAGGATGAGCACATGCAAAGAGCCTTGCGTGGTCATCGTGCCAACTATAATTATAGACTTATTTACACGTTACTTGTGGTGACAACTAAGATGCACGGATCATTGTCTACATTAACTGTCGCGCCAGAATTCATGAATGAATGGGAAAAATCTTTAACCAACTACTCTTAGCTTAGTTCTCCATTAAGGACAGATCAAAGCTCTTCTTTAATTGGCTACAAAGGTATAAAGCTTTTTTTTTTGAGTGTAAGTTAAGAGTTCAAATTCATTTTCTGCATTCTAAAAAATTCATTAAATAGAGACAAATATCCCTTATCAAAAAACTTCCAACAAACGTAAAATAAGACAATCTAGTCTATAGACTCAAAGAGAGAGAGAGAGAGAGAGAGAGAAAACAAAAAGAAAGTTTAGGGACTCAAATCCAAATAGAAGAGATCATATTGTGGAGTATCTCCATATCTCAATTTCTATTAGAGCTGTGTTCTTGTTAGTAGCTTCCTTGTTAGGGGTTTTTAAGGAAGGTCGTACGAGGTCAAAAAATCAGTGGAAACTGGAGAAGAGAACTGACGTCTGACTGCTTTCCTGGGCACTAGAAGTAAGGTTTCTCTTCTTTATCAGCTCTTCTGAAAACCGTATCAGTCCCTCTCGCACGTCATGTTGAGGGTTTAGACCTAAGCGCTTAGTGTATATATGGGGAAACTCAGCTTTTCTCAAGCGATGTATGTTGGATGATGACTAAAAAAATTGTTGTCCTCAATATCTTAGTCCTTGTCAAATTGATGATTGTTCATGGAATATGTTTGAGAGGACACATTTGGTTTAGAAAAGAAAAGAAAAGAAAAAAAAAGATCTCAAGCAATCCCGTTAATCAATTCAAATCTTCTAGTTTACCTATTGAACTTTCTTATGTCAATTTAGCATTGAAAATTTTTATCTCTTTGAATTATACGAGTTAACAAATTCAAAGTTATACCTAAATTGTAGAAGTAGACACCAAAAGGCGTTAAAATTACATTAATCGGTTTGAATTGGATAAACCAATTTGTGTGGCCTGTGATCCAAAATGGCCCATAAACCCAACAATTTACTTCATGAAGTAGATGTATCAAAAAAATTAAATTAGATAAAATATATCAAATCTATCTAGAGCTGAGGTGTGTTCCATCATCTCCATCTACTGAACTAATGCAGGAGGGGTTAATTTGAGGAAAGGTGTATGGTCCTTCTAATATTGCCCTGGTCATCCATCTATTTGCAGCTTCAGTGAAATGATTCCCATCCCAGTTCACAAACACCGAAGGATATGGACAAGAGGTTGTCAATGGATCGCCACATTCAGCTGTAAAGTTATAGTTGTAAGGGCCTCCACCTCTACAACAGGCTACAAAGTTTTTCCCATTGAAACCTGAATCAAGCTTCTTCACATTACTAAGCATTCAGAAAGCATATATAGCTAATGGTATCTCTAAATTTTGGTGATATCTGTAGAGTCGAATATCTCAAAAAGGGTCATGGACTCGATATTCAGGAACATGTTTTAAGGACCCAAAAAAAAATCAATGAAATGAACAGAGAAGAACGAATTAAATACCATATTCTTGCGCAGAATGATAGAGTTGTATGGTGGAATTGTAATAATCTACATAGATTACAGATGCATGAGGATGGTGATCTCGAATTTTATTCAACTCCTTTTGAAGCATATCGCTGTGGTAGATCAGAAGCTCATTCAACCATCCAATGCATCCTGTTATAGAAGAGTGATCTCTATTGAAACTCAAAGGTTGTGGTAAGCAACCAGCTGGGATCACTCCTGGGACCATTCTTGTCGTCATTCTGAGCTCGATGAGCTCCTGCATAATCAAAATTCAACTTAGGAATAGAAGGGTAAAATGCAAATTGCCATCCTACTGATTCAGAGCACCTGACACTTGTTTCAAAGCTCAGTTACGACAACCCCTCCCAATAGACACTCGGATAAAATGTTACCCATCATATGAAAGATTGATGTTGTTCCAACCTAGGACTCAAATTGTGAGAGGGAGATTTTTGAAGGTTATTTCACATTGGTTGTAGAAGGGGTAGGGTGATTGATTACAAATATAAAGAAAAGCCTTACCCCTTGAACTAGCTTTTGGGGTGAAAAAGCCCAATAGCACTCAATACAATCTGGCCAAAAAATACACTTAACCTGCTTTTAGAAACTCAACTAATTACTTCTTGCATCAAGGTTTAATAGCCCATGCATTACATGCAATGTATTCCTGTGAGAGATGGATAGTGAATATTATACAAGTTGAATAGAATATTATTATGATGGCTTATTCTTTCGCCTTTTCAAATCGTTTTGGTCTGACATATAAAACATAAGTTTGGAGTTAACATCTATATGAGCTGAATTTCAAAAAACATAAAGTGTTAAACGCATGTAATTGTGTTTAAATTAGGGCTGTTGACGACTCAAGTTGCTCGCAAGCCACTCACAAGCAACTCGAGTCACAGCTTGATAGAGGTCGGTCATACCAAACTCGAGCCGAACTTAGGTCAATCGTTAATATATACGAGTTGAGGTCGAATAGTCATTTCCTAGGCAGATAGTTTGACGAGCCACTCGAAAAGCTCGACTTCATATAAAATTATAAAAATGCCTTTGTATCAATTAAAATTTACAAGATTTCCTATTTTTATTACATTCCCCAATTCCCAAATCCCAAACTTCAAATTTTCAGAAACCCAATACCCATTTCCGCCTTGCACCACCACGCATCTCCACCACCACGTTCCAAACCCTAGCTCACTACCACCACCACCAATCACCAGTCACCAAACGATTAAAACCTGACAACAAGAAGTCGAGCTATCTGGAAGTCGCACATCACAGCCAAAGAATCAAACAGCATCCGGAAGTCAGACATATCGCAGCAATAGTCTTCCTTCGGCTCCAGCAGCAGTCGTCTTGGTTCGGTAGTCGCAGCGCGGGTGTTGATCTGACAGTCGCAGCGGTGGTCTTGGTCCGGCTCTGCTATCTTGGTTAGGCAACTCAAGTGGATAGCCTTTACCCACCCTATTTGTGGTGATTTTTCTTTTTCCTACTCTTCTTCGCATGCTGTTGGTTTAAAGAGCTCAACCGTTTGTTTGCTTCTCTATGTTTGGACTTGGAACAGATAATCTGTTCCCATGTTGTATAGTTCTTTAGCAATGATTAATGCTCTTGTGGTGTTGCACTATATAATCCATTCAAGTTCTACAGCTATAAATTTGATGCTCTTATAGTGTTCATATTTGACTCCATAATTTGTGCACATGCTTTGTAAGATGGAATTATTTCACTAATCAAAAGAAACTATCAACATGAACCATTCTTCCTTCCCAAAATTAAATTAAGATACAACTCTTTATATAGTTTTTAAGACCCATCACTCATGCACCATGTACTAGCTGGATAAAGATGCTCTGCTTTCCCAAATTTGTATGACTTGTGCATTAAAGATTTTTTGTATTTTAGAAAAAGATTCATTCTCCAAACATAAAGGAGTTGCAAGGAAAACTGGAAATTAAGAAACTTTTTCTCTTTTACAATGAAATTTCATTTTGTGTTACTTAAACCCCAAATGCTAGTAAAAAACTTTAATGAAGTAAATTAGAATCTATATAAAACAAAATCAGCACAAACTAAAACAAGATGCAGCTTTGGACAGGTATGGGCCGTATGGCAAATAATATGTTGTCAAAAACAATCTTCTCTTTTTGGTGATTAAAGAGTGAAATATTGGGATCAAGAAAGTCATATGCTCAGTTCAACATCTCCCCTATAGAATGCGATTATGAACCCAAATGCTAGTGAAAAAACATTTAATGGAATAAATTAGAATCTAAATAAAACAAAATCAACAAAAATAAACAATAATGAACCTGTAGATAGGTTTGTGTTTGGACATGTTCGTTGTAATGCCTAAATCAAATGAAAATTACTAAATAGTAGCACTGCTACTATAATTTTGGAATTGTTGAGAGTTAGTATTTGCTTATTCATACCTACCAGTAAACCAATGCTAGCAAAATGTTAGCAAAACCTGCTTCTAGTGCGGAATTCACTGAGATAGAAGTACATTCAGTTTATCCTATCAGTTAAAGCTTATGGATTTCTTTGAAGATTCCTAATTTGGCTTGGTCTGATGTCCCACAGGATTGTGCTTCTTATTGTGATTAGGGCTAGTTAATAAAAGTGAAATGAAGTGAAAAGTAGAAACCAATAGTAGAAGAGTTGAGTTGGGACTACCTTGAGTTTATTTTTGCGACTTGAAGCTATAATGTTGCCCGAGAACTTGAAGCTATAATGACTTTGATTGAACTACAAGAACTTTCCAAAACTTAAGCATAACCTTGTTTGGCTTTCTATATTCACATGAGAGCTATTTTTTTTTTTTAAATGTATGCTGCTCATGGTATTAAGACCTAAATGCCTTTAATTTGAAAGTTTCTTGGCTACTTTTTTGGTCCTTTTCTTGGCTAGTTTGCAGCTGCATTTAAGGCTATTGTTTGCTGGTTTTTTGGGCTATTTCTTGGCTGCTAGTTGTGGTTTTTTTTTGCTAAATTGCTGGCTTATGCTGAGTTGCTGGTTTTTTTGCTACTTAATAGACCGACAATGTTGAAGAGGTTTTGTTTGTCTTTGTTGCTGTTTCATTGTGGTTCATATGGATGGTTTTTGGCTGTTGTTTGTTCCCTTTTCTTGGCTAGTTTTTAGTTGTGTTTAAAGCTATTTTTTGCTAGTTTTTTTAACTATTGTTTGCTGGTTTTTTATGTTGAATTTCTCAATCAATGGACTGGATTTTTGACATTTTTGGCTGCTTTTTTGCGTTTTCACTCGCTGGTTTCTTTTGCTTCTTAATATAGTTCATGTTGAAGTGCTTATGCATCAAAGACTGGCTTGTTGGTAAAGTGTTGAAGACACTATTTAGATTTGAACCTTGTTGGTGGCTTACTATACTTTGATTCCTTGTGTGACAATGGTTTAACATTTCAAGTGTTGAACATCTAGATTTTTATATGTTATAAGTTTATGATTGTATTTGTGGATAATTTTTATGTGGCTATTATTATGCTCAAATTTTATCTAGAAGATGCGGACAAAAATGCTATTTTCTAGCCTAAATTTCTAGAAAGTTGAGGTGATTTCGAGCTGGATCTTGAGCGAGAAAATCAAGTGAAAATGTAGCTGATTTCGAGCTTCTCGTGAGTCAGAGTATCAAGCAAAAGTCGAGCTGCTCATGAACCAAAAACCGAGTTAAACTCGCGAGCAAAAACGAGTTGAGTTCGAACTTTCCTCTTCCTAAATCGAGTCAAATTCGAGCTTCATTTTTTTAGCTCGATGAGCTCGAGTTTGAATTCGAACTCACACATTAACAAGTCCAACTCAGTCCGAGAAGTTTAGAACTTGACTTGTTTGCAGCCCCAAGTTTAAACTGAGAAAATATTTGATAGAAGGTAATATTTCCATGTGACTGAATAGACTCCAGTGATGTAATTTAATCAGTTCTATGATGGATTCTCACAATGACAGCCGCAGCCTGCCTTGAACAACTAGGGGTACCAGCGATTGAATTTCTTCCCTGTTTATTCCTCCAAAGTATTGATGGTTATAATCATTTGCTCCAAATGGTCCAAAAATAACCAATGAGCGTTGCATAAGGTCATTGCAGCCTGCAAATGGATTTTGATAACCTTAGTATTAGTCAAACTATGTAAGAGAATTCAAACATTTTGAGGAAAAGAATTACATGCTGATCGACGAATTCCTGCAAGCACACAGGGTCATAGTCATAATTTATCTAGAGTATTCCATGGTCAAACCCGCAGGGATAAATTAATTTTGTACTTTAATTATTCCAATAAAATAACAAAATTTAAATTAAAAAAATTGTATTTTCTAACTAAGAAATAAAAGAATAATCAATGCAAATAAAGTAGTGGTGAGAAAATAATAGACGCGAGCTTAGGGTTTCATGTTTTAATCCATAATTTGAATCAATTATCCAGTTAATTTCTCAATAAACCATGAACACATCACACGACTATATTATAGACCACCTCTCAATGCATCTAAAGTTTGTTTAATTAAATCCTATGTCTCTCTCGAGATAGCAAGTATTCAATTAAACCTTTTAAGAATTTTGGTGATTTAAGTACGTCATACAAATCCTAACCTACTCTCGTGATTAGACTAAATATGTTTATTTATCTAGTGCATGGTTGTATATCCCTTCTCAACTCAATACAAACCCTAAAAGCATGCCTATGATGGCCAATCACAAACATGTAATTAAATTAAGATAAATAAGCAATAGCAAAAGACAAGAAACTAAATTAGAAGAATTAATCAAATTCCTTCATACAAACCTTAATCCTAGAGACAATTTAGTTCAACATGCTTTAAAAATTAAAACCACGAATTCAAAGAGTTGCTACAAAGATAAGAAAAAGAGTAAGAAAACTTCTCAATTGCTCTTTACAGTTTCTTAAAGTAGTATTTGAAACGGGGTAGGATTGGGCTTATTAAAGCTGAAAAACGTCAATTTCATGCGCCGGAGTTCTTTTGGATGACTTGGCCAGAACAACTCCAGCGTGAGCATCGGCACAAAGGATTGAAGATCCGCAAATGGATCACTTCGAATCCGCACATGGATCCACTTCAAGGCCAAAAATCTCCATCATCGAGGTCGACTTGACTGAAAATCTTCAACTTTATCACTCAAACACACTTACTATAATCAATTATATAATTCAGTAGCTGAGTTGGTTTGCCTAGCCATTTAGGAAAGATTTAGTTCTCACGATCATGTATAGAAAGAGAGATGGTACTGATATTAGGAAACTTGAACATTTTTTGTAGTAAGCACTTGGATATCCATCGATATGCGACCTTGGTTAAGTGATTGGCATCCCAGTTAATATTTGCCAAGTATGCATTTTGCCTAATATTTTGTATATATTTTGGATGGATTGTGATGGAATTAGGCTTAAAATGATGATGAGAATGCCTATTTTGATGATTAGGTGATAACTAATTGATGTAGTAAACAAAGTGTGAAAAATTGTTCGAAAGTGGGCAGATTTATTTGTTAAATGGGTAAAATACCAAAAAAATCCTTGTAATTTGATAAATGTTTAATTTCACTTCTTTTAGTTTGGAAATCTACACTATAACTGTCTATGGTTTTGACTAAATTAAAAATTGGATAGAAAACATCTAATCGAACGATTTGTATGAAATATCAATATTGCCCCTACTCTACATGAAATATTTTTCATTCAATTTTTAATTTAGTCGAAATCACAGAGAGATATAGTGTAGTTTTCTAAATCAAAGAAAGTTAAATTGAATATTCGACAAACCATAGGGAGTTCATTTATATAGAAACAATATTGACATTTTATATATAACTATTAAATTGGATGCTTTCCGTCCAATTTTTAATTTAGTTGAAACTATAGAGAGTTATAATATAGGTTTCCATACCAGAGAGAGTTAAATTGAACATTTAACAAATAACAAAGAGTTTTTTGATATTTTTGGTGACAAAAAGGCAAAATATACGATGCTGGACACTTGATATCGGAAAAAATATACGGCGCTAAATAAAGGGAGTCAATCCCGATAGTACACTAGATACTCGTCTGAAAGTTTAGAAGAAAAGGTTATTAAGCATTATATGGCACCGAATAGTGAAAATTACATCAGATACTGAATCGGATACTTGAACGGGAAAATTTCATAAATTGTGCAAGTTGTCCAACTTATGGCCTGCGTTTCATCAAATTGATATTGCAACTCAATATCCTTTCGGGAGGTGATATTGGCACTTTCACATTAATTAATGGCACTATTTTCAACTTTTCTTATGGTATAAAACTTTTATGAGGGGGAAAAAACAAATTAACGTCACACAAGGAGAAGCTACTGCCCTATACAAGCCTACTAAAAAGAGAAAAACAAACCCAAATCTAAAAACAACATACAAAGTACTCCAATATTTTACCTTAATCTTATATGGGAAGACATACCGTGGCTATAAATGAATGAGAGTTAAAAAAGTATTTTCATTTCTTTACATGACTTAGAATAAAACCAATGAGAGTGCCAACCACAAATATGGAAGTGTTAATATCAATTCCCTTCCCCAGATCCCCCTTCACTTTATAAAGATCCAAAGCTGAAGCTCATCTTAGGCTGTACCTAATGAGCACTTAGGCAGACGCAATATACGTTTCGAAACATTGTAATGATGCTGAGACAAATGAAACATCGTAATAAATAAGGGTTTTATGTATGTTATTTGATATTTTTCTATTGTAGAGAAATGGTTCTTGAGATTGGTACGGTGTTCTACCTATCTTAACAAAAGAAAATTTCAGAGATGCAAACAATGAGGGAACCGAAAAGCATAACCTACTTGCTCTGACGAACAACACGCTTTTAGCATAAACACATAGCGTTGACGAGATAAAAACTACAAAAGGAAGTTCTTCTGAGAAAAGATGTATGCACATATTGTTTGGAATACTAGTTAGGAATATAGGAATATGACACACGTTGTGAAAGTTGTAGATCACTCTTAATCATTTTCAATTTCTTTTTTGTGATAACCATGCAACAATATCATGCATCAATAATATATTATCTGTAATGGCTCTACCTTTGAGGCGTGCATTCTGCCTACTACTAATTAATTGAGGCAGCACCTTCTTCGTTCTCGCTGTCAAAATTAATTTTAGAATCGAGCTTGTCTGATGACGTTGCAGAAGGATATTGGTCTGTGCTCATGCATGGTGGAAGGATTTTGGACTTCTGGAATCAAAGAGATAATATGGTACTACTCAAAGGAGGGTGTAAAAACTCAGTATCAAAACAGTGCTTAAAGCCTTTATTGACATGAGACTATACGATAACCCAATTTGTGGTAAAAATTCTACTGGAAATCCATCTGGGTCTTTGCTTCTTGGAGAACCAAAGCAGAATGTTCACAAAAATGTTGTTCTATCAAGTATAATCTTCATAAAAAAAAGTAGGGCCATCACGTTGGATAGAGGCTGAGATTTATGCATATTATGGACATCGGTCATCAATCATCATATTAATTTCAACATGAAGGCACTCGACATCATGGTGTCAAACATTTTCACAACCGAGCATACCACAGTACAAGGATCCTTTGATAAACGGTTGGAGCGGAAATTGGCATGGACTTCCAAAATTATTGACTGTAACGTGGCCTCAGTATTACTGCTTTTTTTTTTTGAGAGGGGGGGGGGGGGGGGGATTTGAAAATTACATTTACTTACCAAATGTTTTTGAGGCACAAAGATAACTAATTAAATTCGTCTTAATGGTAGTCGAGGACATATTCAGACGCAGTTGTCTAGCAATTGAGGAAGTTATTAGTAGTCTCCCCATTAAGGCTCTGGAAAAGGCAAAAGAAAAGGAGAAATCTCCAGACATTTCAGGGGCTGGTGAAAAAATGCAATGCTCATTAAGATGTTATTTCCTCCATCCCACTTTGATGAAGATGTTTTTCTTTTTTATCTATCTCAAATTATAGTTTACCTTCCAATTCAAGAATATAGTTAACTTTTAACTTCTCTACAATATCCTTATTTAATATACTTCGTTATTAGTAAATATAACTTATCTTATTTAATACAGTCAACTTTTTTACCAATAATTGATTTGATATATGTCTTGAATGGTACATTATACCAACATTATTATTGTTATAATTAATGCAATGATACAGTAATTGGGGATACTCCTAATATTAATGTAAAGGTATTTTAGAAAACATTATAATAGATTTGTTTTTCCAACAAAATAAACTAATTTTTTTAAGTTGTGTGAAAAAAAAATTAAAACTATCAAACTGGGATAGAAGGAATAATTGGCAAGTGGATTCAATCATTATACATGGACAAAATTCTCGTGCACTAAGCACTCAACTCTACCGTGTTAAACCTATGTAAGGCTACTAGCTAAAATACCAGCTAATTGATTAGTCAAACCAGAATAGCATCTTTAAACTTACCAGCTAATTGATTAAACTTACTAATTTCACTTGGTATTAAAATTCGCACGTTGAAAAATGCATATATGACGGACAAAGCAATTCAACAAAAATTTATTGAAAAAAAAGTGCTATTACAAGAGCTCGTATAGTAACATATATACATAAATCTACTTCGCTTGCAACTGAGCAAATGATAAAACACTTGCCAACAAAATAATAGAACTAATGATCTGACAATGAACAGTACAAAAGTTGGAAAAAAAAAAAAAGAGGAAGCCCTAAAAAATTAATTGATGTTGGCTAAAAAATATGCAGCAGAAGCACAAATAATTCCACACCACTTGTTGAGTAAAATATGGAGCCTTTTGATTGGGAATGAAAAGGAAATATGGAGCCTTTAGGTATCATTTTGCCTCCCAAATTGAAGGCTCTTACAAACCACATATTTATGGATAGGCTTATCCAACCAATCAAAAAGTAGAAACGCCAACCATAAACCACATAAACTAAATAAATAACAATTTAATGTGGTTTAAAATTTTGCTACCAAGTGATAAAAAGGGACATCTCACAAAATCTAAGCTAATCTTAAAGCAAAAGTCCTCCTGAACTAGTGGATGCAAGCGGACAGATTGTATTGATAGGAGGAGTAGAATATGGTCCTTGAAGTATGCCCTGAGCTACCAATTGGTAGGCAGCTTCGGTCAAGTGCAAACCGTCCCAGGTAACATACAAAGACGGATCCTTGCAAGGAGTTGCTGGTAGGTAGCCACAAGGAATTGAGGTATTACAATTGTACGGGCCTCCTGTTCCGCAGCAAGCCCTTAGAGCTTCTCCTCTAAATCCTGTAGCAACGATTGAGATATCAATATATGTTCCAGTTTCGGGATTATAAGAGCAAAAGAACAACGTATGAGCTTTGTTTGTGATAATTATAAAATAAAAAGAAAAAGAAAAAGAAATGGCTTATCGAAATTAGTAGAACCGACATTCTATTACCGTTTTTTTACCATGATCGACCTAAATTGCTCAAGATAACGTGGTCCAGATCCGTACTGTCTATTTTAAAATTTGTAATAATTATTTGCAAAAGTCTAGATGTTTACTGTCCAGATTAGATTGAAAAGAAAACAAGAAAAAGGAAAAAAGGCTGTATCAAGGATTAAAATGTTTGGCTAACATTGCAGCTTTGATTCTTTTCATTATTGTCAAACTCCATTGACTAAATTTTGTCACCCTATATTATCACGGAACGTTGTGGTAATTCATCCAAATTGTTAGGCCAAGGCTTCTTTTGCCTTCATTCTCCATCGTTATGTATTATGATACGAGACTAGCAATGGATAGGAAGGAGAAAAAGAATCCAAGGCAAAAGTAAAATGTAAATCAAGTTGAAAAAATGGAGAAATACCATATTTGTTTGGGGAACGATAAAATCTCATTGCAGCATTGTAGTAATCGGCATAGATTATGGTGGCATGAGGATGAAGTTTTCTGATGCGATTAAGTTCTTTCTGCAGCAATCTGTTATGATATTTGGCTAAATCATTTAACCAGTTTATGCAACCAGTATCCGTGTCGTAGTCATGCTGGCTGGAGCTTTGAAAATAGGTCAGATAGGAAGCCAAGCATCCAATTGGAAAGTTCCCAGGAACCACCAATGTCACAGCTCCTAGCTTAATCAATTCCTGCATTATTACCTTGAAATTGCTCGTTCACAAAGCTTTGACAACAAAAATAAAAAATTAATGGATGAATTTTAAAATAACATCGCTGGAGTATTTTTTTTTTTTTTTTTTTTTAAATACATGTGATGTAGTTGTCAAGAATTACAGTCTTATTAGTTTATGTGATTCTGCTAAAAAAGAAGAAGAATAATAAGAAAAAGAATATTAGACCAGTGGTCAACGAATTTCAGGTTTTAATTTACCTCGATAGCTGAAGCGATCTCGCGCACAACACCGGGAACATATGGTTTGACCTCATCTGGTTTTATTCCACCAAGAAGTGCAGCGTTGTAATCATCGCCCCCAATCTCTCCCATAAGAACAAACGAGCTTTGAAGAAATTCCCTGCTGCAATCTGTTCATCATGTACATATTTGATTTAGAATCATGCCTGGTATTACTACTACCTTGCTTTTTCTTCTTCTTTTTTTTTTCTTAAGTTGAGATTTCAGGATTTACAGATTATGAGTTCTATTCCCCATTCTCCCTCCGACTTCTTAAATTCCATCCTTTCCCAACTAAAAGGAAAAATTGAAGAAAAAAAAAAAAGATTGGACATTTCACATTTAACAGTTGCTGGTTTACAACTATACTTAGGGTCCGTTTGGGATTGCGATAATTTATTGAAAAGTATTTCTCTAATAGAGTTTTTAACAAAGTACTTATCAACTGTTTAAGTGCTTTTAAATATATTATTTAGTAACCTAATTCAGTAAGTACTTATTGTATTAGATAATATGTAATTTGAAAGTTTTTAAAAGTGTTTATCTTTTTATTTGGTTCATAATATAGGATAAGATGATTAAATTTAATATTTTATTTTTTAAATCACAAAAGTTACTTTAAAAGCATCAAATTTGAACTTGTATTTTTAACACCAAAAGCTCCGCTCCTTGTTTTATGGGATGATATTTACCAACTCTTTAAAAATACTTTTAGCACCTAAGAGTATTTTTTCACTATAAGCATTGCTACCCGAAACGGGGCGTTACTCCTATACTATGGGAAAAAGAAAATAGGTCCAAAGGGATCATTAAGAATCCAGATAGGATTAAACCATCTCAGGGTCATTAAGAAGAATTCAGAAAGAACTAAACTGCCTCAGCACCAAGGCACCATTGGATTTGAGAAGCTAGAGGTCCTTGGCATTTAATGCTAGCAAGGGTAGTTGATCCCTCAACCAACACCCTAAGAGGGACTTAAAGGCTTTCTTGGTGACTATTGAAGCAATGGTCCGGTAGTTTACCTCACACCTGTTCGTTCGTTTGTTTGTATTCTAATGGCACAGAAAACACTACAAAATTTCCACTCCTATATTCACACTCCATTTTGCCCGCTATACGGTATGTACGACTCATTAATTTACTTACCTGAAGAGTTGCTGCTGCATAGAGACGGCAATATATCTTTGAACCACCTTAACTGTGTTCCCAGTGACACATTCGTTGAAAGATCCTGCAGTCCCATTTCCAGGAAAAATGAATTGTTAAGTGCTGTAGCTCCTGATACAGCGAAATTCACGCCTTGTCGAAAATCCGTACTTTCATCTCTCCAAAGGTATGCTGGTACTAACGGAAGCCCAAAACTCTCAGCTAAAAGGCCAGAACATTTGATCAATGAATTAAAGTGCAATCAAAATGATGAAACGTACATGAATTTAAGGTTGCTTTAGGGTCTGAGATGATGAGAATTGAAGACCTGTTTAGAAACACGAAAGCAAAATCTGTCTGATGGAAAAAAAAAAAAAAACGAGAGCAAAATCTGTATAAATAGTACATCTTTATTATAACTTAAATGTGTGATGCGCTTATCTCTTTCTCTTTTTCTCTGCGTTCGTACCAATAAAATCAATGATGAGACGGCCATCGCAGCAACGACCGGTAGGGTGTTTAAAGAAGGTTTCCCCGTACGGTGGTCGATAACAGTGGGTAGGATTATCGGGCGGGAAGAGCTGGACTAAGTTGCCAGTATCAGTGAGGGAATCCCCAAAGCCGATGATGGATTTGTAGCATGATCCAGCTGATGCTCTTGCTGAAGTAGATAATTTCAAGAAAGAAAGAACGAGTATTGCTAATGCAGGTGTTAGTAATTGGATAGAAGATGAAGCGGCCATGTTTTACTAGTAATAATTAATGGTGAAGGAAGGATCTGAAGGTTAAAGAAGCCAAAATATTCCGCAATATGAAGTCAAAGGCTGCGAGTCTTTTAGATGGCCCTTTGTGCGGATTTTCTTGCAGCAGCGGCCATTAATTAGCGAATCCCACATACCAGTGGAACTTTTGTAGCGTCCTCTATAAATCACTTGACAAGCACGTGACAGGTACATGTAATCACACCCTTAGATTACTCCGTTTGAAGACAACACCGGCGTCGATTTCAACATAACTGTAAAGGTGTTCTTCTGATTGACCCGTAATAAACGTGGCTCTGTCCTTTTGCAAACTGCATATTTATTAAAGAAATTGGGAGATGAAAGGGAAAAAAAGCTAGCATCATTAGCTATTTTTCAAGTTAAAAGAGCTTCTTTAAGAATTGCTTGATTATAATTGTGCAAAAGAGATCAAATGGTTAAATTACATCCCAAAACAACGTGTTTGTTCATGGTTCAACAAAATTCTTTTGGTATTTTTTTGTGAGTTGAATAATTTATTGGAATATTAATTAGATTCTTGGGAAAGAACTGATGTTGGTTTCCATGAGGTTTACTAGATCAGTAAAAGATTTTTTTCAAAGTAATGTTTTTTTTTTTATTTCAAAAGAATCTATTCTTTTTTATGTTGGTGGGAAGGATTATTGTAGCCTAGTCAGGCGAAACACTAAAAGCGACTAAAACAAAAAGAATTCCAGAGAAGATCTTTAAGGAAGAGAATTTCAATCATCCAAAATCACCAAAAACAGAGTTCTCATTTTTAAATCCATATCCAATTCATCAAAAAATTCAGCAAATTAATCCAAACTCATTAAATTCACAAAATAGAAATATCATACATGCGCAGAAAGGGACGTCTGACTTCACAGATTACCAGTTCAAAAAGAACACGTGATGATGATTATTAATGCAGTGGGCAAAACTTGTCTCCTGATAATAATGTTTGCTGGACTTGGCCATCGTGCACTGACTTTTCCCAAAGGACAGAAAAATTTGGATGGCTCCAAGTCCAACCAAAAGCACCAATGTTATTACGTGTCCCAATGTGCGAAAGGAACAAATTGATTTTAGCCACTCGTTTGGTAGATTTCGTATTGTCATCAATCAATTAATTTCTCTGTAGTTCAATGAACTGGACAAGCTATTAGCATCGACACAACGAACAAGACAGAGTAATATTTCTAGAGCAAGTAGAGAAGGAAGCAAATATAGTAATAAACATCAACAATCAAGCTGGTTTCCGATACATTATTGGACATCATAAATAAAGATTACTCTTATATACGTTAACAATGTATACATTTTCAATATTGAATGCATGACATATAATCTAAATTTGAATTTGAAATTCAAATTTTATATACATATCATGCATCAAACTACAATAGTGTATACACTATTATTGCATGTAAGATTAATTTCATAAATAAACATATTTAAAAAATGATGAAAATTATCATTGGGAAAATTTGCTTGAGCCTTGAGTTTGAAGTCTAAAGGAGCTTTGCTGTAGTGGAGGCTCGAAATCTGAAAATTACCAAAGGAGCGGCAGGAGCCCTGTTGGAGAGCAGCTGTGGTGGAGGAGTTAGGGTTAAGCTGGTATTGTTTGTTTGTTGGATTTGTCTAATTTTTTCAGAATTTTTTTTCTCTTTTTCGGTTTTTTACTCAGTCGACTGGTCAAGAGTTAACGTTTTCAAAAGATTAGGCAAAAAGGGAGGAAAAACCCGAGATTAATCCAATTCTGTTGGTTCACCGATCAAACCCAGATTTTGACTAGATTTAACCGAGTTTATAAACGTCGAATACTTGAGCCGACTCAGACCGGCTGCCTAATCGGCTCCTGATTTGATTTGCTGGTTCAGTTCAAGCCAGAGAGCATTGGTGTACATTAATATATATGATTAGAATATTAAGCACTTAAACTTAAAAAGCTTTGATCCAGCATTCAAGGTTTAAACTTCAAAATTGAGAAATCTTGATTTTAAATCTCGCTAAATGTTAGTTTTGCTTAACTATATGTTAAACTTTGTCCTAGTATTTATTGGACGCTAGTAGCAATGTTGTCTAATCATAGTTCGCATATATTGACCTCCCACTATTTGAGGACTTTTGCTCAAATGCCGTTGAAGTATAATATTTATATATTGATCCTACCATTCTGGGTTTACTGTAATAAATAAGGGTTTTATGTATGTTATTTGATAATTTTCTATTATAGAGAAATGGTTCTGGAGATTGGTACGGTGTTCTACATATCTTAATAAAAGAAAATTTCAAAGATGCAAATAATGAGGGAACTGAAAAGCATAACCTACTTGCTTCGACCAGCAACACGCTTTTAGTATAAACACATGGCGTAGACGAGACGAAAAATACAAAAGCAAGTTATTCTAAGAAAATATGTAAGAATGGCAATGGCCGGGGGCGGCTGCCCACTAATTCCGGTCGCCACACTCCGCTTCCCCCGCAGGGCTATAAAAAATTATCATACAATTTTATTATAGTTAAATTTTAGCGAATAATCAAGTACTAAAATATCAACACATCACTAAATTATTATCCATTGTAATTTCATAATTGAAACTCATAAAAACAATCAAATAAAAGTTATTTGAATACAATCCAACGTGACGAAACAAATACAATTAAAGTAGTAAAATTTTCACTTTTGACACAAATACAATCACTAAAGCATTATTTTTTTTTTTGAGAAAAAAGTGTTACTGTGTTATGTGTAATTAGGAATTTAGTATAAATGTATTAGTAAATTTAGTATAGTTAATTAGTAATTTCTATTAGTAGACATGCATAATTATTAGTATAATTGATAATATCAATTTTATTACATATACTAATATACATTATATAATACTTCTAACTAATAATATCATTATTATAAATTTATAACTAACTAAATTAAATATTGACAGGTTGTCGATGTCTGTGCAATAATAAAAATAGATCTAGTTGCTAATTAAAATAATCAAAACCCAATCCTAAGTACTGGAGCATGGACTCTAGGTGTGCAATGAGTTACTTGATTCACCCTATTTTCGAAGAGTTTGCTTAACCCGATATACTAAAATGGGGTTACTTATTCACAAGAAATTATTGATTTGTAAACAGGGCAAATAGGGTCATATCCTCAGGGATTGGGGGAAATTCGTTTATTTTCAAATCCACAATAACAAAGGGGTGTTTTTGAATAAACGATAGCAATCAAAGGAGTTCGAATAAAAATAAATAACTAACTAGAAATTAAATGACAATTCACTAGAATTAGAGTAATAATAATTAAAAGTCTAATCAAGAAATAACTTCAGTAATGGTTCACCTAATTGATCATCGATGCACAAGCAATTCCAATTATTTGCTAATAAATAGGTTATAACTGTCAAATAAGTAATGACAGTCAACCCCTCCTTACTGTGTCGGTGATTAAGGTACGCCTATTAATCACTGCTCTAATTGAGAAATAATCCTAAGTACGTCCATAAGATTTAATTCCCCAATTGTCTTACGTGTTAGAGGAGTCATATTTTAACCAAATAACGCATTATTATGGTTATTTTAGATTAGCATGCGTATTCCCCTGACACAAATCTAATCATGCCAGTTGTCACTATTTCGAGGCAATTAAACAATTACAGATTTAATACCCCAATTGACAATAGATTATTAAATCAACTCATTATCCGGATCCAAAATAATCAATCAATTAAATAACCATAAACACTACAATCAGGGAATATGCAAATACCAATAAATAAAAAGAAAAGATAAAATTAAATCGATTTCACAATTTTTAGGTGAACCAAAACCTCCGTTGCTTCTTGACTAGAAAAGGGAATTTAGTTCATCCCGGATACGAAAGACCCACACAAAATTGTAGAGAGAGTAGCGGCCATGGTCTTCGATTGGGCGAACTCAATTCGTTTGAAGTAATCCAGGAAATAGCGAAAGCAACAGAGGATGACTAATTGACTACTTGATTAATACTTGTCTTGACATACAAAGAAGGTAACAGGTGCCGAACCTGTACAATAATAAATACTTACTCGAGAAAAATACAGATTTTGTATATAGCAGTGAGTAGGGTCGAATCCACAGGGATTGGGGATAATTCGTTTCTTCTAGAATTCAAAGTATGGGGGGTTTTGGATTAAATGCTAACTAAATAAATTAACTGCAGAAAATAATTGATTAAGAGAAATAATTAAGGGAAAACTCTAGCCAAGAGTACACTTCAGAAATGGTTCAGGCACTGATCATTGATTCACAGATAATTCCACATTTATTAATAGATTAGTTATAGTTGTCATGCACGCGATAAACAACCAACCTTTCCTTAATTTCTCGATAGTTAAGGTACGACCGTTAACTATTTCTCTAACCCAAAAACAACCTTAGGTACGACCGTAGGATTTAATTTCTAGATTGCATTAATAATTAGAAAGGCCCAATCCTAACTAACAAACACGCTACGAGGGTTTGTTTAAGTTAGATCGTATGCTCCCCTGACATAAATCCAATTACGCCAGTTGCTACTAAGATAGAGATAACGAACAATTACGGATTCAATTACCTCTATTTAGCGAAATAGCCTATATGAATAATTAATTATTGTGCACTAATCAATCATACATAAGGACTAAAACAACTAAAAATAGGAAACACATAAATACCAATAAATGAGGAAGCGATTAAAATAATTTCGATCTCACAGTAATTATTGAACCAAGTCTTCAGTTGTCCCCTTGACTAGAATTAAGAGGTTAGTCCTCCATTAATGGAGAACAACCATGCGAAAAAGCTAAGAAAAGAAAAACTAAAACGATGCTAAAAGCCTAAGTTAAAACTATTGATTCCCCCCCAAAACTTCTCGTACGTTTCTCTCTTTTTAAAGCCAAAAGGAAGTCTAACGCTATCTCTAGTGGTCCCCACAAATAAGGAACAAAAACAACTCTCAAAGCTTCCTACGTTTCTTTCCTTCCAAAGTCCAATGACTAATGCCTTTCTTTTTTCTGTGGTCCCCGCCGAATAAATTGGAAGTCCAAGTACAAGAGGAAAGCTCCTGCCAATTCCACTCTTCTTGTTTCCTTTTGGTAGGAGGACTCCTACA